TCCCTCTAGGCCAAAGGTGGTGGGGCCTGTCCCCTCCAGGCCAAAGGTGGTGGGGACATGTCCCCTCCAGGCCAAAGGTGGTGGGGACATGTCCCCTCCAGGCCAAAGGTGGTGGGGCCTGTCCCCTCCAGGCCAAAGGTGGTGGGGACATGTCCTCTCTAGGCCAAAGGTGGTGGGGACATGTCCCCTCCAGGCCAAAGGTGGTGGGGCCTGTCCCCTCCAGGCCAAAGGTGGTGGGGACATGTCCTCTCTAGGCCAAAGGTGGTGGGGACATGTCCCTCCTAGGCCAAAGGTGGTGGGGCCTGTCCCCTCCAGGCCAAAGGTGGTGGGGACATGTCCCCTCCAGGCCAAAGGTGGTGGGGACATGTCCCTCTCTAGGCCAAAGGTGGTGGGGCCTGTCCCCTCCAGGCCAAAGGTGGTGGGGACATGTCCCCTCCAGGCCAAAGGTGGTGGGGACATGTCCTCTCTAGGCCAAAGGTGGTGGGGCCTGTCCCCTCCAGGCCAAAGGTGGTGGGGACATGTCCTCTCTAGGCCAAAGGTGGTGGGGACATGTCCTCTCCAGGCCAAAGGTGGTGGGGACATGTCCTCTCTAGGCCAAAGGTGGTGGGGCCTGTCCCCTCCAGGCCAAAGGTGGTGGGGCCTGTCCTCTCTAGGCCAAAGGTGGTGGGGACATGTCCCCTCCAGGCCAAAGGTGGTGGGGCCTGTCCCCTCCAGGCCAAAGGTGGTGGGGACATGTCCCCTCTAGGCCAAAGGTGGGGGCCTGTCCCCTTCCAGGCAAAGGTGGTGGGGCCATGTCCCCTCCAGGCCCAAAATGGTGGGGCCCGTCCTCCAGGCCAAAGGTGGTGGGGACTGTCCCTTCTAGGCCCAAAAAGGGGGTGGGGACAGTCCCTCCAGGCCAGATGGGCTTCCTCCAGGCCAAGGTGGTGGGGGGCATGTCCCTCAGGCCAAAGGGGTGGGGTGTCCCTCCAGGCCAAAGGGGGGGGGGGGGGGGGGGGCTGTCCTCTCTAGGGCCCAAAAGGGGGTGGGGCTGTCCCTCTGGCCCAAAGGTGGTGGGGCTGTCCCCTCCAGGCCCAAAGGTGGTGGGGCCTGTCCTCCAGGCCAAGGGGGGGACATGTCCCCTTAGGCCAAAAGGTTGGGGGGCCCGTCCCCCCGGCCGGGGGGGGGTTTTTTGGGGCCTTCCTCTCTGGGAAAGGTGGTGGGGCCTGTCCCCTCCAGGCCAAAGGTGGTGGGGACATGTCCCCTCCAGGCCAAAGGTGGTGGGGACATGTCCCTTCCTAGGCCAAAGGTGGTGGGGCCTGTCCCCTCTAGGCCAAAGGTGGTGGGGACATGTCCCCCTCCAGGCCAAAGGTGGTGGGGCCTGTCCCCTCCAGGCCAAAGGTGGTGGGGACATGTCCCTCTAGGCCAAAGGTGGTGGGGACATGTCCTCTCTAGGCCAAAGGTTGGTGGGGCCTGTCCCCTCCAGGCCAAAGGTGGTGGGGCCTGTCCTCTCTAGGCCAAAGGTGGTGGGGACCTGTCCCCTCCAGGCCAAAGGTGGTGGGGCCTGTCCCCTCCAGGCCAAAGGTGGTGGGGACATGTCCTCTCTAGGCCAAAGGTGGTGGGGACATGTCCTCTCTAGGCCAAAGGTTGGTGGGGCCTGTCCCCTCCAGGCTGTGGGCTGTTCGTCTGCATCATCAGCAGGAAAAACCAAACACAGCGGCTTCCAAGTTTAAATTCTCCTCCTCTCTGGGTTTTCTAATCAGGTCTGATTATTTTAGGTTCAGTTCAATCCTCTGATCTTTCAGCATCAGTAAAAAAATCTAGCTCATTTTGTTCTACTGTCACCAAACCAGAGTCTCTCTCATATTAATGACCCAATTTATATATATTGAGATTTAAGTTTAAACATTAAAGATGTGTTTAGATTTTATTGAACATCTAATATTCTGTCATTTCTGACTCATTTTAGATGCAAATAGAACATTTATAGATAAAGATTTAAAATATAGATTTATCATTAGCTTTAATGAGAATTTGCCACTAAATGTCAGACAGAAGCATAAAATATGAAGTTATTATGCTAAATAACAGAAATGTGAAACAATGAGCTTTATTTTCTAATCTTTTCTGATTGAAACTATTTGAAGCTTTTCTGGATTTCTGAGCCTCCTGGGTCAGAGCTGCTCTATGCTGCTGCATGTCTGCTTTGATGCACGCGCTGTCAGACTGTGATCAAAGTGTCCGCTGATGATGTGTGAGCGCGCGTGGATCAGTCGTGTCAGAGCTCAGACACGCGCGCAGGCGATAGAGTCTAAAACATGACGGAAACAGACTTTCTGTCAAAATAGAATCTGTTCAGTCTAGCTCTATGCGCAGTGAACGATGGGAGTTTCCTGCCTCCTTACCTGAAGAATCATAGATGATGTAGATCTGTAAAATCCAGCATAGATCCCAAATGAGGAGCATCCTTGGTTTCTGTCCTGCGCTCAGAGACATCAGGGCCAAACTTGGAGCGTTTCCCTCTTTGCGTCCTGCGCTCAGCAGCCGCCTTCACTCCGCGCTGCTCCTCCTGCCAGCACCGCTGCTCCTCTCTGGAGCCGGGAGGTCCGCTCCTCTGCTGGGAGGTGATGCTGGCTGGAAGCGCGCAGCCGGTGTGGAAAGGGGGAGGGAGAGGGGGCGCAGAGGCTGTCAGGAGAACCCAGCATGTTCATCACATTGGGGGGGGGGGGGGGGGGGGGGATTAGGACTAGGTGAACCAGGAAAACACGGATTGGAGCTCAATGAATGAATAAACTTTTACTACTGAAGAGGGGAAACGATTGATCTTATTTCTTCAGTCAGAAAATAAAACTTAAAGTTTGTGAAATAAAATGCTGTGAATCCAAAGCCTCTAATGAGTCATTTCTCCATGGATGCAGTGAAATGCTTGGAGATCTTTGCTGTTTATTTGCCTCTTCTGACCTAAATAAACATCTAATATCTAGCGCCCTCTGCTGTTAGTCTCTACTTACTACATCAAAACAAACCGTACAGTTTTTCTCATTAATTTCTTTCTCTTTTTTTTAGACAAACATGTTAGAAGAAAAAATGGTACCATAAAGTAAAGGTTTGCATTTGCAGAGATTAAAGAACAAAAGTAAATAGCCCAACGCATAATATCCTGAACAACAAATTAAAGTATAATTGTCATAGTTCTGGTTCTGTTCTCTTTTCTTTTGAGTTTTCAGTTATACTTTGCTCCATGTTTTCTAGTTTTAGTGGTTTAAATCTTATTTTTGTTGTCTTCTCTGGTTATTTTTCAGTTTTCAGGTTTTTATATGTTGCCCTCTGCTGCCCTCTTGTGTTCTCCTTTTTTCCCTAGCTCCTTTCCTGTTGTGCTCTGTTTCACACCTGCTCCCAATCTGCTCATTAGTCTTCTCTTTGTTTCAGTCTCCCCTAAATACGCTCTCTGTTCAGTTCCTTGGTGGCTGGTTCCTCGTCTACTTCCTCCAACTCCGTCTCTCCGAGTCTTCTTCCACGTGAAAGTCCCCCCCCACCCTCATGTCTCCATGGTTTCTGGTTTGTTTGACTTTGTTTTCATGTTTTGATTTTTGGATTTCCTGCCTCCGTGTTCAGTTGTTTGTTTTACTCATTAAATCATCAAGAAACTCAGCTCTGCCTCCCTGCCTCTGCATTTGGTTCCACAAACCTCAACCAAATCCTGACAATAATTCCCCCCCCCCAGCGTTTTATTGTCATAATGCTGTCAGTAGAGAGAGCAACGAAATAAACTCTCTGCATTTAACCCATCCCTCTGGGGACCAGTGGGCTGCCATTGTGCGACGCCCAGGGAGCAGTGTGGGGTTAAGGATCTTTGCTCAGGGAGGCAGTGACACTAAAACTCAGAACCTCAGGATTCCAAGCCTAATGCCCTAACCTAGACTGCCACTCCCCAATGCAGGCATTAGGGTGAAGGGTCTTGCTAAGGGCTGTTTATACACGAGGGCCAAAAAGAGCGGGGATCCAGGTGGAAAAAGGGTCCCAGCGTTCTCGCGCACGTCGCTCTTCTAGCTGCTCCATCTTCACCAGTCCTTTTCCACAATGGCGGTCATACAAACAAAACTAGCCAGTAAGGTACCAAACAGGAAATACGCATAGTGTAGAATTGACCAGCGGAAGGACCCATGCATGCAGTTCATTCCCCACAGCGGGCATACAAACCCAGGCTTCCTGTTTGCAGGACGGGTGGCTCACCACTTGAGCTAGCCAGCTGCTTAAATGTTGCTTAAAAGGAGATAACAGCAAGACTTGATTAAATATTAGGATTCCTTTTTCAGATGTCTGGAATCTGGACTTGTTTTAAAGAAGTAATCCTCTGAGACGCAGATGATCCAAATGCACAGTTATCTTCTCCGAGCTGACACACTAGATCAGAAACTACTTCTACATTTATTGTTGCATATAACTTCATAAAAGGCAGCAGCTCCAGTCCAGGGTGGCGGCTGCAGAAGGACATCCTGTCTGATAAACACTAAGGATCTGACTGGGTGCAGCTCATGTGAAGGTCATGATCACAACCATCCAGGATGTTGTGCTCATCTTTATCCATAAAGGCATCAATATCCACACACCTTTATAAAACCATTCATTGAAAACGGACTTTCCAATTAGTTTTAAGGAACAATCAGATCTCTGATATCAGATGGAGCTTGGCCATTTAAGGCTTTATATGTGAGAAGGAGGATTTTAAATTCTATTCTGGATTTAACAGGAAGCCAATGAAGAGAAGCCAGGATAGGAGAGATATGATCTCTCTTTTTCATTTTCATCAGAACTCTAGTTAGGATTAGTTCTGTAGGTTCGGACCTTAGGGCCTGATCTGCAAAGATTCCCAGGGAGGAGCTCTAAGTTGGGTGTCACAGGTGAGTTGGAGTGATTTTGGTTCAGAGATGTGAAAACATGTCCGGTTCTGATCCGTTTCAATGAATAAACTGAGCTGGAAAAAAGATAAAGTTCCACCATGATATAGAAAATAATGTTGTTTATTATTAAAATGATGGAATATAGTGTATTTCACAGAAGCGTATGTGTAAGAATCTCAGAGTATTACAAACTGAACTGAATACATAACGATGAAATAAAGAAACTCAGATTTGAATGATTCATTTTAGATCATAAAACACCAACAACCTAAAAACTAAGAGAAACCAGACACAGCTCAAAGTGTGAGGTGTGCCCCCTGGGGGGGGAGCAGAGTAACTACAGCAGGGCTAGATAGAATGAACTGAATAAATGAACCATTTTCAGAGATTATCGTTTGATTATTAATAGAAAAGGAATTCAGTTACACGCTAAAATAACTAGTTTCTTTACAGGGAAGCTTTGTTATTTAAAGGATTTTTATTCTATAGCATCATGTTAATTAGCTCAGTTGTTTAATCTGGAGTGTTTCCAGTCTCAGACATAATGAAATCTCTCTCAGAGGAAAGACTTTCTATGCCTCCGCCCGGCGAAGGGCCGCTCTGCGGATCTCTCTCAGCAGAACCTCCCTGTTGTTCTTCACATTGGTTTTGACCGTGTTCAACAAAAAGTCAACCTTCTCCTGGCTGAAGGGGCGCTGGAAAGTGGAGAACTCCTTCATCCTGGCTTGGTATTCTTCTGCATCTGTAGAAAGAGGAAAGGTCACTTACATTCACTTTGACCTTTGACATCTCACCGTGCTAAGGTAACTTGTTAAGGTCTTGAGCTGTTAAAGACCAGCTGGAGCATTTAAACCTCCCTGCCAGGGATGAGAATGAATGACAGTCCTCCAGGGACGGTGTCCTGCAGCCTTAAGTGTCCTGGTCCATCAGACCCAAATCAAACCATGGACTGATGTCCTCAGTCTGCAGCTCTTCCAGAGTCCTGGTCACCGTCCAATCATTAGATTAGGTGTGTTGGAGAAGGGACACATTTAAGGTGTTAGGGCACTGGAGGTCTGCAGTTGGTCATCTCTGCAGCTGTGGACGTTTATCAGATAAACCATCATGTAGTCGTGCACAGCTCTGAGTAGTGCAGCTTGTCCTTGCATTCAGTCACTCAGAGTCTCTACCAGACTTCCATCTGCAGGATCCCAGTTACCTAGGTTACCTAGGTAACACCTAAGTCACTGGGATCCCGGGGGAATCATCTGCTGATTTCCCAGTATTCTGGAAGCAGCTCTTCAATCAGTGAGAAATGGCAGCGCCTCGCAGACTGACAGGCGTCAGGAGTTTTTTCATTAACTGATTTGTTATAAATGTCTTATTACTGTCAGTGTAGTAATAGAGCAAAGCGTGTTACATGCCAGCCATGAAGGAAAAGTCGCTCATATTCAGAATCCAAACTCCTGAAAGTTCTTTAAATCTGAAATGATTCCATCCTGTTCAATAAATGATCAGTGTTTTTAATTCAGAGTCATTTTCATGTGAATGTGCTTTACTGGAGGCGTCCATGTTTGTCAAAGAACACTACTGCCACCTACTGGTTAGTGACGTCACGGTGCGGTATCGGCTGTTGATCAAGTCCCAGTGCTGTATCTGGTGTTTGTCACAACGCGCTATTATCCAAGTCATCTTGAAAACATTCTTCTTCCAAATGTGGGCTACATATTACGGGTTTTTTTCTCTGGCCAGAAGTTCGATGGCAAATCCTCCCTCTTCAAGTTGGCGATCCAACGACCAACCCGTCCGTGGAGGATCAGGAATCAGAAAGGTGGAATAACTCTTTTTTTTCCCTTTTACCCGATGTATTCCAGCATCCAGCTGCCATGCACGTGGGCATTGTCAGTTTCACTATAGCTCTGGTGAATTTCAATGGTGAAGTCCTCTGGAAATCTTCAGTAATTGTTGTTGATTGCAGATGTGTCTAGTAGTTCCCATTGATTTAGCTTGGAAAGCGGGGAGAATGGCGCTAGGCTTACCGCACCGTGACGTCACTGCTGGAAGATGGCAGGAGGGAGGGGCTACTATATTTGGGCAAAAATGGCCGCTCCCAGACTCAGTGATCGCGACAAAAAAATAAATTTATTTATTTTTTTTAATGAAGAACGCAAAAATCCATTAAAGGGGTAATAGAACGCAAAACTGAGTTTCCATTGTCATAGATGAATAACGATGGTTCAGTGGGTGAAATGGACGTAAAGAGAAGTTCCACCCCCATCAACACCTCCTTTCGGGGGGAAGCACGGGGCCGCTGGTGTCCAGGCTACCCTCACTGGGTGGGGTTCAGTCGCTCCGTCCCCTGCTGGCTCCCTGCCCCCGTCCGCCGGGGGTTTCTGGGCCAGCCCTGGAGCTGTCAGCTCAGTTCTCCTGCACTGCAGGCAACCAAAATCCCCGATGATTTTGAAATTCCCTCCGGACATTTTTTTAGGTATGAAAAGCAGGACATATCCGGGAAAAAGAGGCCGTCTGGTCCCCCTACCACATCAACAATCTGATGTTTTAGTCAGTGAGTGCTTGTTGCTATGATGCATCTTTGCTCAGCAGCTTGGCTCGTTATAAACCAACCAATCAGAGCTCAGCTCATCTAAATATTCATGATCAAACCATAAAAGGAAGAAAAGCTGTGGTTTCATTCTAGGGCTTTTAACCAGGCTGCATTAGGGCTCATAGAACAGCTAATAGGACATTTTCAGCCCCACCAATGTTACACACCTACCGGCGTCCAGCGATTTCGATCTGTGAACTCAAATGCTGGGAAGCTCCGATGCTGAGACGCCAGGATGCCCTGATGCACCCCCCTCAACCGGTGGTTAGAGCTTGGAGTCTAGAGGTTCTGAGTTTGAGCCCCACTCCCACAGACTGCCACTCTGGGTCCTTGAGCCAGACCCTTAACCCCACACTGCTCCCCGGGCGCTGCACAATGGCAGCTCACTGCTCTTCAAGGGGATGGGTTAAATGCAGAGGTGAAAGGTTCATTTCTCCATTGTGAGATCAATAAAGTTCAATTATAATTATGATGCTGCCACCACCGTGTTTTACAGTGGAAAAGCTGGATGGGTTCTTGGTCTACCACATTATCTTTTGCATGAAAGCTTAAAGGTTTCAGTTTGGTCTCAGCTGGCAGGAACATGTTCTTCCACATGTTGGCTGTGTCCTTTATGTGGTTTGAGGGAATCTCCATGAGCTCTGTAGGAGCTCTCATGGCGTAATGTTTGATCAATGGATTTCTACTCTTTCATAAAGGCCCGGCTGATGGACAGCAGGGCCAGTAGGCTGGAGGTGCTGTGTGGTTTAACATGCATTGCTGCTGTAGGCACCAAAGAACCAACCTCTGCAGTTCTGTCTGTTGAAAAGCGGCATGTAGACGATGGTCGGCTCCTTTCCTTTTCCCTGGAACACATAGCAGTCCTTTGGCCAGTCCCTGTCCTCCAGGATCTCATCACCGATCTGTGGAAAGGGCTTGTTCACCTCAGCTGCGTAGTCTCTGGCAAGAGTCAGAGTCTGGAAGAGGAAGCAGAGGGGAAACAACTTACTGCTCTGTTGGTAAAGAGACGACAGGCGAGGAGATCAACAACTGTTTCATTAGTCGCTGCAATATGCAAAAGATTTTCCTCTCCTCTTTGCCTCAACATTAGAGAAACAAACTCATGTTAAATAAACTCTCCTATATCTGTAACGTTCCTGGCACTGGAGCTGCTAATTGCAATCAGCGCACCTGTTCTACTCCACCCTACCTGCTTAAAGGCTCAGTCCCTCCAGCCTCCAGTGCCAGAACGTCTCTAGCCTCTTGGTGAGAACTTCCAGCCTATTCTTTATGTGCCTCTGCCTGTCTGAACCTCGACCTGTTTTTGCCCCCGTCTTTTGAGCCTGCCTGACCCCTTTCTGGATTTTTGTCTGCCCGCCTGAGCCCTGCTCGTCAGCCTCAGAGATCTGGACTGTCAACCCATGTTTCTGACCCAGCCTGCCTGTGAGTAACGGAGATTGCCTGCCCTTTGAACTGTCTTTGCTTTTTTGGGATTTTGGAACTGGATCTGGACTTGGAACCTCCCCTGGATTCCCCCTTGGATACCTCTGCTGGATTAATGGATTCCCCCACCCTCATCAAGACCCGGACCGAAACTGGACAAAGAACCTTGGATTTCCCCAGCACGGACTCTGTCCTTTCCTGTAACCAGACTGTGCCCAACCGAGTCTTCCCGTGGCCAGGTTGGTGGCCAAGTTCCCTACTCTAACATCTGCCTGCCTTCACTGGTCACTAACCACCACTCTGTCTGTAGGAGCTGCCAGTTGCTGAACCTGACCGCTCTTCCCGGGAGTCCGTGCCGCCCTCTCACTTTAATAAAGACTGTTAAAGTTTCACTGACCTGTTTGCGGGTTTTCTTTGGGTCCATCCTAATCCATTACAATATCTGAAATGGGGTGAGCTATGGATACTGTTTCACAGTCAACCCTTTAAGGTGTTGGTGAAGATTCTCAGTCATCCAGATCATAGTCATCCCAAAAAAGATTTAAAAACTGACTAAATGTCAGAAATAGCGTTTAGTTCCAGGTTTTATCCAGCAGCCCAACAAAGCCTGGTTTTAGTTTAGAAAACATGCAAATAGAAACGGATGAACGGGTCCCCCCCCTTTGGAATGGGGGTTGTTTGGCTTCTTTGTTAGCCTGCATTGCCCCATACCTGCCTATGTCTCTGTTGTTTTTTCTTAAACCAACGAAACGTCTTCAAACGTGGAAACAAAGTCCAGTGGGTTGTTTTTCAACTTTTTTGGAAAGAAACCCTTTAACGTACATTTGTAACAATTAACCTTTAGCTTTACTGCCTGTAATCAATGACTGCATTTATCTGTGTCTAAGAATAGGGATTGAATAGTACTAAAACACGGAATGACTAAGAGTTGCCATTGCTGGCAGTTCAGGATGATCAAGAGGTGGCAGTGAAGATCATTTGGAGAGGCTAAACCCCAGATTCCACATCCTCCATCACCGCTCACTGAATAATTGTCTGTCATGTTAATCAATGAGAACGGTTCAACATCCACTGCTATAAGGAGCATCCAATGCTATAAGGAGCATCCAATGCTATAAGGAGCATCCACTGCTATAAGGAGCATCCACTGCTATAAGGAGCATCCACTGCTATAAGGAGCATCCAATGCTATAAGGAGCATCCAATGCTATAAGGAGCATCCACTGCTATAAGGAGCATCCACTGCTATAAGGAGCATCCACTGCTATAAGGAGCATCCAATGCTATAAGGAGCATCCACTGCTATAAGGAGCATCCACTGCTATAAGGAGCATCCACTGCTATAAGGAGCATCCAATGCTATAAGGAGCATCCACTGCTATAAGGAGCATCCACTGCTATAAGGAGCATCCACTGCTATAAGGAGCATCCAATGCTATAAGGAGCATCCACTGCTATAAGGAGCATCCACTGCTATAAGGAGCATCCACTGCTATAAGGAGCATCCACTGCTATAAGGAGCATCCACTGCTATAAGGAGCATCCAATGCTATAAGGAGCATCCACTGCTATAAGGAGCATCCAATGCTATAAGGAGCATCCACTGCTATAAGGAGCATCCACTGCTATAAGGAGCATCCACTGCTATAAGGAGCATCCACTGCTATAAGGAGCATCCACTGCTATAAGGAGCATCCACTGCTATAAGGAGCATCCACTGCTATAAGGAGCATCCACTGCTATAAGGAGCATCCAATGCTATAAGGAGCATCCACTGCTATAAGGAGCATCCACTGCTATAAGGAGCATCCACTGCTATAAGGAGCATCCACTGCTATAAGGAGCATCCACTGCTATAAGGAGCATCCAATGCTATAAGGAGCATCCACTGCTATAAGGAGCATCCACTGCTATAAGGAGCATCCACTGCTATAAGGAGCATCCACTGCTATAAGGAGCATCCACTGCTATAAGGAGCATCCACTGCTATAAGGAGCATCCACTGCTATAAGGAGCATCCAATGCTATAAGGAGCATCCACTGCTATAAGGAGCATCCAATGCTATAAGGAGCATCCACTGCTATAAGGAGCATCCACTGCTATAAGGAGCATCCACTGCTATAAGGAGCATCCACTGCTATAAGGAGCATCCAATGCTATAAGGAGCATCCAATGCTATAAGGAGCATCCACTGCTATAAGGAGCATCCACTGCTATAAGGAGCATCCAATGCTATAAGGAGCATCCAATGCTATAAGGAGCATCCACTGCTATAAGGAGCATCCACTGCTATAAGGAGCATCCACTGCTATAAGGAGCATCCACTGCTATAAGGAGCATCCAATGCTATAAGGAGCATCCACTGCTATAAGGAGCATCCACTGCTATAAGGAGCATCCACTGCTATAAGGAGCATCCAATGCTATAAGGAGCATCCACTGCTATAAGGAGCATCCACTGCTATAAGGAGCATCCACTGCTATAAGGAGCATCCAATGCTATAAGGAGCATCCAATGCTATAAGGAGCATCCACTGCTATAAGGAGCATCCACTGCTATAAGGAGCATCCACTGCTATAAGGAGCATCCACTGCTATAAGGAGCATCCACTGCTATAAGGAGCATCCACTGCTATAAGGAGCATCCACTGCTATAAGGAGCATCCACTGCTATAAGGAGCATCCACTGCTATAAGGAGCATCCACTGCTATAAGGAGCATCCACTGCTATAAGGAGCATCCACTGCTATAAGGAGCATCCACTGCTATAAGGAGCATCCACTGCTATAAGGAGCATCCACTGCTATAAGGAGCATCCACTGCTATAAGGAGCATCCACTGCTATAAGGAGCATCCACTGCTATAAGGAGCATCCACTGCTATAAGGAGCATCCAATGCTATAAGGAGCATCCACTGCTATAAGGAGCATCCACTGCTATAAGGAGCATCCACTGCTATAAGGAGCATCCACTGCTATAAGGAGCATCCACTGCTATAAGGAGCATCCACTGCTATAAGGAGCATCCACTGCTATAAGGAGCAGCATGATGAACAGTTTCACTGTCACCAAGAATGAGAAAAGTAGAACCAGGATAAACATCAGGAAAACAATCTCCAGGTGGGAGGAGCTAAAGAAGGAGGGAGATTCTAAAAAAGATGCTGAAGTTCCATGTTTCTCCTTAACTAGCCAGTGATTTAAATTAGCCTACAGCCAACTCTGTCCATTGTGTTTTATTAAACAATGTTGCTAGTTATGTAAAAAGGAACTATAGTTCGAGCTTTTTGAGGCAGTTAATTCCAGCTGATAGAGACTTCCCTTCAGGATCTGTTTGCTTGATAATCTCCAAGAACTTTTCAGAAAATAAAACTTTCTGAGCATCAAAGTTTCAGGTTTATCTGTCATCAATCCCAGTTTCCTGTTGCCGATCTTCATTCTCTAAACCTGTTAGACATTTCAGACAGATACAAATACTCTTTCACCAATTCTAATTTCATTACGGTCGTAATGAAAGTTGTTTCCGAAATCGACTGACATTCAAGCATTTCATTTTATAAGCTAGCCTTTACAGGTTATGTTGGACCAAAATCACTAAAACAAACCACTGCATCGTTAAAGTCCTCTGAGTCGCTGCTGGAATTAACCAGGAGAACATTTTCTCCCCAAACAGAACCACCTGACATCATCCTGTCTTTCCTGAGAGGCTGCTACCAGAGGAGCTTTAGCTTTTCAGTTAAACACCAATATTTTACAGCACCTCAAACATGTTTCCAGCGCTGGACTCTGGAGCAATCATGAGGTCGATGTCCCTCTTGTCTCCGAGAAAGGACGGGTAGGCCATGTTGATCAGCAGCCCGGCGTCGATCAGGTGAACTTGTTCTTTGGACTGGAGGCAATCAGGAACGGAAGCGTCTGTTGGCGACAAACACCGAGTTAAACTCAGACCGACTTCCAACGTTTCACTAACTCGACCTTTCCACGTCGCTTCAGAGAAACTAGAAGGACACATATCTTCTCAGGGCACTGCAGGTCTTCCTTAGATGGTTTTAGTTCTGGACTCTTTTTTTCTGGTGAAGCTATTATTTTAGCTGATTTTTGACTAAGAATGGGCTCACAGTGATACAGTAGTAGCCATTCAAAATATCCCCTCAATCCCTGGCTGGTCCTTGGCTGGTCCTTGGCTGGTCCTTGGCTGGTCATTGGCTGGTCCTTGGTTGGTCCTTGGCTGGTCCTTGGCTGGTCCTTGGTTGGTCCTTGGCTGTCTTGCTGGTCTTGGCTGGTCCTTGGCTGTCATGGCTGTCCTTGTGTCCTTGGCTGGTCCATGCGTGATTGGATCCTTGGGTTTGCTTCCTTTTTGGGGCCTTGGTTGGTCCCTGGCTTTTGGCATCCGGGTTTGGGCCTGGCTGGCCCGGGGGGGGCCCCTTATTTGGGTTGCTTGGGGCCCCTTGGGGGGGGGTTTTAAAGGCCCCTTTTTTTTGCTTTTGGGGGGGCCCCCCCCCTTG